AAAAACAGTGATTTACATAAAAACACAATGAAAACATTGTAATCCGATTCTCTGTGATTTTTTATACCATTATAAATCTTTAAGGCACGATTAAAGAAAAGAAGTGGTTCCACTTTTCCTGTGACAGTCATCATGATTTAACAAATGCATAACCATTCTTAGTTAAACAACAAATGAATCACAAACAGAAGATATTGTTCTGTCCATTATCTGATTAAGAGAACTGAGGGGTTCTCTGCCACAGTTAGAATGACCTGTCATGGCCTAAATAGAGTTCAGTTTGTGAGAGAGTTCCTGTCCTCTCATCAGGCCTGTCCAAAGCCTGCTTCGAGGCAGTAAATCTTGTTTCTTCACTCGARGTGACCCCTACAATTTTCTTGAAAAGGAACGGAGGGTGGAATTTATAAAGCGACACATTTWATTATGTAGGCCGAAATTGAGCTTCCTCTTCTTGAAAGACCAGCATCTGCCACTGGTCTGTAAACACRACTCACTGTAGTCCTGTTCCTGTCCCAGGTCTGCAGAGACCTTGATTATTGCAGTATTTGTCAATAGGTTTCCCAGCTGAAGTTGTATGAGATTCTTCTTAACACACCTTTGTCCACCCAAGAAATAAAGGTTGTTCCTCACTAGTCTTGAAGAAGTTCCTGTTTCCAGTCACATCTGCCTTCTGGAGGGTTCCTGCGTTGCTGAACCCCTCTGTGTCCTGTGTGGCCTCCGGAGATGTTGCTGCTCAGCTGTTCTTGTCTGCGTTCTGTTCACCCTTCGATTAATTCCTTCATTTCTTATTTCCTTGTTGACTCACAGAGGGGTCTCTTCTTCTCAGCCTGCATGGCCCCCCAGGTCAACTCATTACTCCTTGTTGTTTGTTCTGTGAAGCCCCTCCCTCACATTGCACCATCCACCTGATTTAGTTATGTTTCTTTGAATCRGGATGGTTGGGAGCCATTTGTTAAGAAGGGTACTGTTGAGCTCTACATTGCTGTTTTATTTCTGTTCTAACTCAAGTAAAGTTAAGTCAACTTTATTTATACAGCACATTTAAAAACAACTGCCGTTGGCCAAAGTGCTTCACATATTGCAACTAAAAACAAAGCATTACTGACAGAATACAAATAATGATAAAACCATAAAAACAGAACAAATAAACAGGGAGAACAACTCTCATACTACATAAAAGGTTTTGAAAACAGGTGTGCTTTAAAAAGACATTTAAAAACCCCAAGAGTTGAGGCCTGTCTGATGTGAAGAGGCAGCTGGTTCCATAGTTTAGGATCCACAATTGAAAAGGCTCGGTCACCTCTGTGGACCAGTCTGGACCGCGGGGACAGCCAAGAGAAGATGTTCGCTGGATCTAAGAGATCTGGAGGGCACATAGGGCTGCAGGAGGTCAGACAGGTGTTCAGGAGCCAGTCCATTCAGAGCCTCATAGGTCATCAGTAAAAGTTTAAAATCAATTCTAAAACACATGGGGAGCCAATGAAGGGAAGCCAGCACCGGGGGGCCATGATCACACTTCTTGGTCCGTGTTAAAAGTCTGCAGCGTTCTGAACCAGCTACAGGTGTGAGAGGCCAGCCTGGCTAACACCAACATACAGAGAGTTACAATAATCCAGCTGAGATGTAATAAAAGCATACATTCAAGGTCTTTGAAAGATAAAAACAATTTTGTTTTAGATAAAAGTCTCAGTTTAAAAAATGATCTTTTTACTACAGAATTAATCAGTTTCTCAAAGTTGAAGTTTGAGTCAAAGATCATGCCCAAGTTTTTGACATGCGATTTAACAGATGGTTCCAAAGCACCCAGATCCTTAGGAGAAGCACTGCGATTACCACTGGATCCAAAGATAATAGTTTCTGTTTTGTTTTCATTGAAGTTTAGAAAGTTTGAAGCCGTCCATGCTTTGACTTCAGTGATGCAATCAAACAATGCTTTTAGTGAAGAAGAATGATTAGGCCTCAACTGAAGGWAGATCTGGGTGTCATCTGCATAGAAGTGAAAAAGGATGTTAAATTTTCTAAAAATGGAGCCTAAGGGGAGCATGTTTATGGAGAATAACATACTGTAGGACCAAGGATAGATCCTTGGGGAACGCCACATGTGAGGGGGGCTGAGGAGGAAACATATTTTCTAYGGCTCACTGAGAAACTCCTGTCAGACAGATAGGACCTGAAACAATCCAGTGCAGTGACTTTGATGCCACACTGATCCAACCTAGAAAGTAAAATATTGTGGTCTACTGTATCAAATGCTGCTGTCGGGTTTAAAAGCAAAAGTACAGCAGCGTCTCCAGAATCTGTAGTGATTAAAATATCACTAAAAACTTTTAAAAGTGCAGTTTCTGTGCTGTGGAGTGCTTTAAAACCAGATTGATAAATTTCAAAAAAATTTGTGAGCACTCAAAAAGGACTGCAGCTGAGCAAAAACTATCCTTTCTAAAACTTTTGATAAAAAAGGAAGTTTGGAAATAGGTCTAAAATTTGAAAGGACAGGTGAGTCCAGGTTATGCTTCTTCAGCAACGGCTGCACAGCTGCATGTTTAAAACAGGCTGGAACAACACATGAAACTGAGACTGCTGTTAAAAATCTCTAAAATGTAAGAACCAACTACTTCAAAAACTGTCTTTAAAAATGAGTTGGGGCCACATCATTAGGACAGGATGAAGTCTTCATGTTGTTAATTATTTTCTCCAGCTGGTTAAAACACACAGGCTYAAACTGACRGAAGACAGCAGAACTTGTGATGGAGATGGATGGATAAAGAGATGGCTGAGTGATTAGTGATCTGAGGTTTTGTATTTTATTGATAAAAAAAAACTGTGGTCATGTTAATGTTTTTGGCTCATGGGTTTGTGTGTTTCTTTAGTCTGTTCATTTTGTTTTAGTTGGTTTAATCTTCTATTTTTTTAGATGGTCTCTTTTACAAATCATCACATCTGCCTGTTGTTTGGAGTGGGGTGAGGGGGTATTATGCAGTTTTCAGGATCCGCTGCAGACTGAGMTCTAGGGAGGAGTTTTGTGTAAATAGGCGGAGCTTTGTRCCAGCAAGTGTTTWGGCAGCACCACATGATGTTTGTGTTGGCTGTTMTTTTCTCCCCTTTTAAGTTTTGTATCTCCARCYTGTTAACATTCAGCRGAACACCTGCTTGCCGTTTAAAGGTTTGTTTTRTTTTGAAACSGCTTTCTGTGTTTCTGTTCAACCTGTGTCCGTGTTCAATGCATCAAAATTGCTGTCTAGGCCMTCCTCTTTTGATTGACACCTCATTTGACCWAYTGGGTTCAACWGYCGGYTCTCCAGAGCCAATAATCAATGAGAAGTGACCAACTTCTGGTTTCCATCATCCTGGGCAAGATTGACTGTAGAATTGGCCACTCAGCTCCGAGCTTCGTTCTGATGCCACAKCTGTGTAGCCAATCACTGTACCTTTCATTTAGTTTATATATTGAGGGGGTGGGAACTTTGTTTAGTGACGRCACAAGCTAAATACGGAGTTGGTCGCCATTTTTAGCCAGTCGTGCTACGCTACCAAATGAAGCAAAACTCACAGGAAAACGTTTTTCCATCGTTTTTTGGCCAGTTAGCTGACTAAACATGCTGATAAGATAAAAAATTGTTATTAAGCGTTTCGAGTGCTTCAAGACATGAAAGAATGATTTTTGTGACCAGGAGAAGTAAAAAAGTTTGGATAAAAACACTTCCGGTCGGCCATGT